TTATGGAGGAAAATTAGTGCAGGGGTCTTGGGAGGTTTCGGCCAGCAGGGGGGAAGAGGGAGATGGACTCAATTCTAAATTAGAATAAGAGGTTTTTAGAAATAGTTAAAGAGTGAGGTTAGAGGGGAATCTCAGCCAAAAGAGGTAGAGGATTTTGAATTCTTTCCAAGAGAGCAGCTTGGATTATGGAAAGAATTCCCAGGAGAATCCAAGAAGGGGGCCTGCGGACTAGGAGAGAGGGAGTGGATTTTGGGAATTAAATGAGATTTCCTATTTCAAATTTAAGAAATAGGAAATATTTAATTAAATTCTTTTTCATTTGAAAAAAGAAAATTTAATCATTCATTCATTCATTAACTTGCAAAGAAGAACAAGGGGGCTATAAATAGCCTCTTATAATGACTCAAACATAAAGGACGACAATGCCCCTAGGGCTTACATACGACATCCCTTACTAAAAGGGTACAACGGGAAAACTAATAAAGCAAATACAATATGATATCATAAATAAGAAAACACATAAAACAAATAAAAAATACGACTCAATTGTGGCCTTAGATTGACAGTCACGTCTCTGCTAAACCTTCCATGATCTGATGCCCCCATCATATTGTTTTGTTGTAATTCTAAAAACATGTGATCCGTCATTTCTTTCGTTATATATGGCGTCATGTAGTAAGTGGTGAAATGTTAAGTATACTGGCGAAAGTATTAGTTTGCTAATGCAACTAAAACTGCCATAGATTTTAGAAATTAAGAAATGATTTGTTGTAATTCAAAGAATCGTTTCTATGGCATGCAATTTAAATTCTTTGTAACACTTGAATCCTTTTATATAAATTTCTCCCATACAATTAAATGATACTTTTTTCTCTTACCTTCTTGCCATTTTAAAAAGTCATCGTGTTTTTAATAATATGCATTTTCAATGATAAAATTAAAAGATGTATGTTAAAAAAAAGGTTAATAAAATTGATGATAAAACAAGAATAATGCATAAGTAGTTTGTAATGGGATGCGTTTTGGCGAAGTTAAGTGAGGAACAAATGAAAGCGATCAGGACGAGAATATATGAACAAGCTCTATCACCTGGCAACAAGAGATTTGTGCCTGGAGGCATGTTAGTTATATTCAGAAGAAGAATACCTTAATTAGTCTATCCTATATCACCAGACATCTTTCTTATAATGTACATAATTTAAATAATTCATTTTTAATAGAGCTTTTTCTTAGGATGCAATTTGTGAGAGCATGTCATCATGAATGCGAATATGACTAAAAAGTAAAATATCTCATCTAAATTGTCTATTGCCTTGCATATTTCTAACTTTATCCTTTTTTATGATTTAATCATATATCACCGGCATGATCATATTTATATTTGGCTCATTTAATATCATCAGCTATGATACCCTCTCTTTCCATTGGTGATATTTGTGCTACTAAAGTTACTGGCATTAAGGTGAAGCATGCAACTTCATCGCAGGCTGGAGAAATATATGAGATGCAAGGGCTCATGTTTTGCTAGCATGGGAGCTGATCAACCTGCTGAAGTAGCGGACAATGCCCCGAAGGTTATGGTACTTTATTCCACTCTAAACGTAGGTGTATTATTAGACTACATAATGATGCCTTACATTAAGTGCAAATAACTGTTTGAACCAGAGAGACTTTGGGCCTTAGTATGATGGAACCCTCAACTTATGCACTTGAAAATATTTGGTCAGTTGGATTATGCAAATAATTTTGAGAATATACCAACAGAAAAATGCTCTTCTCATACATCAAATTGGTTGAGGTGAACCTTTTATTAGATGTCAGGATGGTAATTTTAAAATTTATAGGGAGCTTTTCTGCTATGTCTCTTTATTAGTTATCTTTCAAACTTGTGCCAATTTAATTAGATAATTTAGTTGTTAGAAGGGAATAGTTGCAATAAGCTTGGTATGGATGAAGCTATTTCTTGGAATTTTAATTTTCATCAACATAGTTAAAGCCATGCCATGGTAACTTATAGTTTAAGCCATGCTCTGAAATCAATCCAAATCACCTGTTCTGTGTTTTTAGTTGTCTGCAATCGAAGCTAAGTAATTCTATTGGTTGTGCTCCAATATTTTGATTGTTATCTTTTAAATATTCTTTGAGAAAAATTATGATTAAGTAATTGAGGCTGAAACTGAACATTGCCATTAAAGAAGCTGTTGAAATTTTCACGATCAGAAGTAATCAAGTTTTAAAACCATTATTTCTTATTGCATTATGAAAGTTAATTGGAAGCGAGGTCACAAACCCTAGAGTCTAGGATATTTTAGTCCAGGCTACTTGACCATGTTGAGGATTTTGTTTCTTTCAATAATTATTTTAAGAACTGCCCTTTTATCTGCTTCTTTAATCTTAGTAACCCATGCCCTCTTCCATTTTTTCAAATTATTTTAAGAACTGCCCTTTATCTGCTTGTAAGGCATTATTCTCTCTTTGTATTTTATAATATCTAAAATTCAATACTAGTTTTAAAATTAAGAAAGTAAGGGTAAGTTGCCTTCAAAGGTGTTCCTTTTTATTGGTCTCTGATCACACAATTTAAAATATAATCATCCATTTGCGTCATTTGGTAATTAAAGTACTAAAAGCTGAGTTGCAAACTATGACTCACCTTCTAAAACAAAATATTTTGTTTATGTACTTGTATGTCATCCCATCATCATCATCATCATCATCCAAATCCAAAGTAATCCGATGGCTTAGTTTGAAGATTATGATATAGTAACATAACCAATTAAAGATCTATTCTAGGTCTTTATTCATCTAGGCATGAGATCAATATCACTTTTAATATTTTTTTTTTTACATACTTGCCACTAAATTAATAAAATTGAACTTCCAGGGGCATTAATGATTGAACTACTGAACTGGAAATTGGTGATAGCTTATTCTCTATTTGGCCTGCAACTAGTTTGTTTCCTTCTTTCTTCTTTGTATATGCTTATATGCATACACTAAAAAGGATATATTATTTACTAAATGCATGACCAAACGCATAAATAATTAGCTGTGAAGAATTTTTCGCCATTTCATCTTATTATTATAATTTTTAAGTTTTTTATATGAAAATATATTGAAAGGAATTTACTTTTAACTATGATGATTGATCTGCCTAGGGAAATCATCAAGCTTTCTACTATTGAAAAGGATTTACCTTTGTTATTCTATGATTTTTTTTTTCATTTAGATAAGCTGCTATCCTTAAGAATTTAATGCAAGTGAAAAAATATGGGTTGCAATTTTACTATGATTTTCAATATTTCGGTGGTTATATGGCAAATGAAGATGATTGGGTGTTAATTTTGTTAATATCCAAGTTTCAAAAGTTGTTCAAGAAACTGCCTTTTATCAGTATTAACTTGTGCTTTATTTATTTTGGATTTTCAGTATCCTGGGGCTTGTTTATACTCTCAAACAGACTCTATGCTTTCATGTGATGGTTCCCATAAGCAAACCAGGCGACTTTGCCCCTGTGCTTGACAAGCACCAAGAGGTACATCTCTGTCTCTGTTTAAAACTGCAAAAAAAAATAAATCTAGTGTATTTCAGTTAATTTTGTAATTTTTTTTTAAGATTACAGCAATACATAAATAATCAACCAACTCTTTGTATTATTATATTCGTCTTGAAGTTTTTTTTTTTTGTTTTGGAACTTTTTGAGTCAATTAAGATAATCTCACATACTTTACATACACAAGTTTTAAATTTAAGATCTCTTAGTTGATAGTTTAAATTCCAAATTAAATTGATCAAAATAAGTTGTGTGATCATCATTGTTAAAATTCATCTAAATTTTTCAAGAGCTTTGAGAACTGGTACTAAACATATTAGTTAAATAAACTTTTGCTTGAATTGACTGACACCTCTGCTTGTTTTTAATGCAGCAAAGCTACTTCCAATGAATCATCTGGGCAATTAAACAGTCCATGTGGTAGGTAGGCATTGCAATCCTGTGTGCAGATGCCGCTGCCTTAGCATATGCTAGTAAGGAGAAATTATTCTGTATGGAGTTCGGGCGAGAACTGTTCAGACTGTGAGTGTATACATAATGTGTATAAAAATTTAATACATATTATATATAAATTTATACATAGTGTGTACACTACAACAATAATAACAACATCAAGCCGGATAATTCTTCCTGTCCCATGACATGGGGTTGGCTATGTGAATCCTTTTCGCTGTTGTGTACACTCATATGTCCGGATAATTCTTCCTGTCCGTACTCCGCATAGAATAATTTCTCGTTAGTAAGCCATGCTTTGTTAGGTTACACTATATGTTTTTGTGAATTTTGTTTTGGTTTCAGCATGGAATAGCCAACATGTTTGTGCATTAAGGTGTTGTAAAATTTCATCAGTGAATTAAATAAATGCTTTTTGTAACTCTTTAAAATAATTTTCATTGATTTCTAGTAAAAAAATATTTTTATTTTAAAGAAATTTTGAATGTATTTCTCTCCTATTTTCTTTTTTTGGATGTAATGTAAATTAAATGTGTTATAATTATTTATAATAGAATTATGTTATTTTAATATTTTTTAAGATAAAATTGAAAAATACAGAAAAACATTTAAAATTTTGTGATTTTAGTGAGTAAAATATCAAATTGATATTTAATTGAATTTATATGATGAAAGAAATTAGAAAATTTTAAGATCATTACAATTTTAAAAAATAATAAGTTAATAAAAAAAAGGATGGAATTAAAATGGCACATACCTAACTGAAACTATGAAAAAAAAAAGCAATAATTATAAAGGATTTGGATGAAATTTTTATCTCGCTCAGTTCGATACGGCTATACATTAGAAATTCTAGTTGTAAAAAATAAATTTTAACCAATTTTAAAAAAAAATAATGAAAAATTGTAAAAAAAAAAAACAGTACTCAAATAGAACTATAATTATAATATGAAAAATAAAATAAAGAGAAAACTACCCAAACAGCCAAAACCCAAAAACAACAAAGTAGCACCATTAATTATAAAGTATTGGTTATTAGGTTACAGAAAGCAACATAAAACAGCCAATAATGAACCAAACATCAAAGTGAGTAAGAGAAAACTTTCATAAACCAAATTATTAAAAGAAAAATATAAAATATCAAACTATAGCTATCCAAATTCAGTTGATCTGACTCTTTTGGTTCTTCACCTTCTTTCCTTAGCAAACAGCTTTTGTATTCTGAAGAAGCTGAATCTCTCTTAAACATTCAAATTATCATACATCAAAAGTAAAATCCCCTAAAATTCAAAAGGAGTAATCAGGCTTCAACCTCCTACTACTACTCAAAGCCTTTCCCCTCTCCTTGTCCTTCTCACCATTCTCCTCCTCCTCCTCCTCCTCCTCCTCTCCCTCCACCACCTCCTCTATCTCGAATGCCGGATGAGTGAGAATGCTCCCAAGCAACTGCGTCCCTCGGAGCGCATTCGTGAGCGGTAAATGTCCCTCCGGTGTCTCATCGCCGAGCTCCCAAATGAACTCCCCAGGGAAAGACTTATAGATGAATTGCTCCACCTCGGTCTCCATTCGGCGCATCCACCCTATGTTGATGAAGAATTTGGTGAAATCGCGTCGTGATTTCTCCCACAACCTTCGTTGCACGCTATATCCGAAACGCCCTTCGCTGTGGCGGCTCCATAGATCATCAATGGCTTGGAGGTCATCGGCGGCGATGAATTGCACTTCAGAGAAGAAAACATATCCGCGCTTCTGGGCAGCTTCGCCCGCCAAGGCGATGAGGAGACGACGAGTCTCCTCATCGGCCTGGCGGAAGTCAGAGGCAGCGAGGTGGTTGGCAAGGGAGTCGAAAGTGAGGATAGGGGATGAGGTGGTGGTGGAGGAGGAGAGAGTGAGGTTGATGGAGGAAGAGGGGAAGTGGTGGCGGATGCGGTGGCGGCGATGGAGTTGTGGGAGGCGGATGGAGTGGAGAGAGGTGGTGGCCATTGATGGGGATAAGAAATGAGTGGGAGAGAAAGAGTGGGAGTTTTGTTTGGGGTATAAAGGGGGGAGGGGGGAAATGAAGGGGAGGATGGGGAGGATATGGGGCAGCTGGAATGGAGGAATGTGATTGGTGGGCAGAGGGTGAGGATGGGATTTTACCAATGCCACGTAGGATTTCAACCAATGGTTTCACATGGCCGCAGTTCATGCTTTGGGAAGGGCATTACTAATTAAAAAAAAAAAAAACTATTTGGCCAAAAAGTTCCTTAAAGAATTTTCTTACATTAAAATTTTAATTTTTTTATCAAAAATTAATTAGGATGTTTTTTTCAATAATTTTAAATTTATTTTAAGATATATGAATGATAAATTAATTTTTATATTGCATTTATTTTAAATAAATTTAAATATTTTAAAATTCATGATATTTTCTTTTTTTTTTATCATGAGCAAAATTATTATCTTTAATAATCACAAAGATAATAAAAAAAGGGATAATGATTATTTATTCCATACAAAAATATATATTTTTTTAATTTTTGATATATTTATTTTAATATTGTTTTTTTTGCAGTTGGTAATTATAGATTATTAAATTCATTTTGGATGAATGGATTTGAATTCACTGATTTTTTATTAAATTATTTAAAAAGATCACAATCCATTATCTTAATGTAGAGTAAATGACAAGACATCTTACATATCCATTTCAAATATTATTTTTTAAAAATTTAATGATATTTAAAAGGTCTCAAATCTGCTCTATCTCTTTGATTTTTATATTCTTCTCAGCGTAATTTTTTTTAATGATATTTTTTTTTTCACATGTTAAGAGAATAGGCAATTGAATTTAAGAATACATTTATATGCATTATCAAATCATTGTTATTTGGCTTCAATAAAATTATGGCTTGTTTAGAATAGTGTTGGCTCAAGAAAAATGACATGAATGCATGAATCCCGCTTTGCAGCCGTAGGATTCAATTTCCCTTAAGTCGGATTAAAATTAACTAGATTTTCTCTGAGGGTAATGTCAGGGTTTACAGATCTGGAGTCTTTACTTCCCATGAGCGCAAGCACTCATAGTTAATTATCCCTCTTAACATGCAAGAGAGAAATCTCGATTAAGGATGAATAAATTTTAGATATTTTTAGTTTCAAATAGTGGAAAAAATGGAGGTAAATCCAATCAAGATCCCATGATTATGTCGTTCCGAGTATACCATAGATTTTAGTCTACAAACACTAACAATCATTGACCGTAGTGTCCAGGGAATCTGATTAGCAGCCATGTGTTGCCTCCTCTCAGAGATCCCGAGTAGATTGAAGTGGTTAGGTATGGATTTTAATTTGATTTGAGATTTTGGGGTTTACATCTATTAGAATACCCATAAATTGATTAAGTTTAGGATTTATGAATTCGTTTAGAAGTAACCTAGGAGTTTGAATTGAAGTGGGTCTTATAGCTTCTCTAAGAAGTAGCCCAAGTATTTAGGTTTATATTGAGACTAATGGCTTTCGTAGAAAATAGCCCAAAGATTTGATTTGGAATGGGTCTTACTAGTCTATTTATGAGTTGCCCAAGGATGGGTCTAACAACCTAACTTTACAGCAAGATTGCCCGAAAATTTAATTGTTTGGGTAGGTCTTATTACTTCTCTTAGAAATTTGCCTAAAAATGGGTCTTAATCCTTTAGACTAAGATGCCCATTTATTTGAATAAGATTGTTTGGGGTTTAGGATCATTGCTGTTTATTTAACAATTTTCCTAAAATATGAGACTTACGATTTTTGTAAAAAGTAGCACATATGTGAGTCTTACAATCTACTCCTATAGACTAGGATGCCCAAAAGATTTAATTACTTGGATAGGAAATCATATGATAAAAATTTCACATGCTTTCAACATAGGAATCATAATTATTGTATTTTAAAATATTATTTAAAGATGTAATTCCTTCTTGAGGCTTTTGCCTTGATTGTTCAACAAAAGTTATTTCGTATGATTAAATTTAGGTAGAGACTTATGGCCTCTGCTAAGGGTAGTCTGAAGTTATTAGTTAGGTAGGTCTTAATACTTCCTTAAAAGTTGCCTAATGATAGGTCTTACGACCTAGCCCTGTAAGCTAAGAGGTCCGAGTTGTGGGTATTATAACCAAGCCCTATATATTAGGCTTTCTGAATGAGGGGTCTAGAACTTTGGGTTTAGGTTCGTTCACTTGGAAATTTCATAACATGCGGGTCTTACTGCTTCACTTAGAAATGATCCAAATGGTGAGTCTTACAGCTTAGTCCTATAGGCTAAGATGCCCAAATGAGGGGTCTAGAGTTGTGCTATCACCTAAACATTTCCCTCTGAAGTTGGACTTAAGACTTCTATTAGAAGTGACCGGGGGTTTTAATTTGGGATTAGGAGTTAAGTCAATTTTAGCTAAAACGTTACCCTAAGGTCAAACTTACGACCTTTCCCTTGAAAGTTACCAGGTAGTGGGTCTTACAACCAAGTTCTTATAAACAAGACTGTCCATATAAGGTTTTAAATTTAATTGTTTATTTGTTGAGTTGACACCAGTGTTTTGAGAGGTTTGACCCTTACGTTAGTATTTTAGTTGTTCTATGTTCGTAGCCTTTTTCCTATTACAGTAGTCCACAACTCTCTCATTTTTTTAGTACTGTTGTTCTACTAGTTTTTCAGTACTTAGTTTCTTACTTTCTAGTACTTTGTTTAATTAGTAGTGGCTTAAATTTATCAACATTTATTAAATTTATTTATGATGTACTCACTCTTCATTTATTTATTTGCATGTATTTATAGCCAATAATTGTAATAGCTGGGACTTGTAGTTGCATAAAATAGAGTCCACAAGTAGCTGTAGGAGCTCGTACAAGAGATATCTTTGGAGAATTCTATGGAGGTTCTAAAAATTTTATTGATTTGAGAATTGTATTGAGTTAAAGTTATTGTAGAGTTTGTGAAGATTGTGTTGAGAGCTTGTATATGTCTGATTAGTGGAAACATTATTTCTCTTCATGAATTTCTACATTTTCTTTCAAAAATTAATTTGATTAATCTACTAACTAAAAAAAAAAATTCTAGTTAATTGTATTAATCTAAATTTTAAATTTTTTTGGATTTTTAAAATTATCTAACTTAAAAGTTTCATTTAAAAGTGCTATCATATTTTAAAATTTCACGAATTTTAGAATTTTTAATTTTAAATGCTCTCGAACTTTAAAACTTTAAAATTTCAAATGCTTTCAATTTTGAAATGCTACAAAAATTCAAAGTCTTCTACTTAATATTACTTGCATTAGAATCTCTTGAGGAGAGATCTCATTTAGAGATGTTCGAAACAATCTCATTTAAAGATATTCGAGGCTTCTCAAACAAAAAAGTTTTTGGCTTTAAATGATACCCAACAAGTTCTCACTTATGTTGACTGGCATTTAGGAGAAAGATAAGAAGCAGCGTAATTTTCATTCTTACTTGTTTCAAATACAAATAGAAAGGGATTAAGAGAATTTGTTATTAAGAAGACGATGATGATGTATATTGAGCTATAAACTTGTCCTGAATCCATTCGGGACTTTCATCTATTATGTTAGTCGTTCCAAAATTAATCAATTATTTTGATTAATTTAATGAATTATATTTTTTATTATTTTTTTTATCAAGTATTAATTAACTAGATTAGTTAATTAACATTTTAAAAAAATTAATTTAATATTTTAATTGAATTCAAATTGAACTGTCCTTGAAAATTTTAAGAAAATTTCGCCAACCTCCCTTGGTCTCCTCCCCACCGAGGGAGAAATTAGGATGGCACTACCGTAATTTCTTCCTACCCGGACCTAAGGTCGATGACATAGGGACTTCAATTTTACATTATCCCATCAGGATCTAAGATCGACTGCGTGAAGTCTTCAATTTGGAACTATCCCGGCCGGATCTAAGATACGACGGCCCGAGATCTTCAAATTTAAAACCATATGTCATATTAAAAATCAACGGCAAAAGTCTTCGAATTTAAAACCATTTGCCCATATCTAAGATCGATGGTACGGGTCTTCAAATTTTAAACCATCCCTGCCGGACCTAAGGTACAACGATCGAGTCTTCAACACTTGCTTGAAATTCCTTCCTCTTTTTTTTTTTAATTTCTTTATTCTTCTTCTTTTTTTAGATATATAAATATTATGTAAAAAAAATAATAATACATTATGATATGATTATATATATATATATACATAAAAAAATGGAATCGGCTCGGGCATGATCTAGTTCGGCTATGTTAGTCGTCGAAGGAGCTTAATCGAATGGTAATAGAAGGATCGTCTAATCTCTATACCTCTTGCAAAGCAAGGAATCCTAATAGCAATATGATGTAAGCACACTAGTTAGAAAAGCCAAAAATAAAGAGAACAATGGGCATGACTAAACCAAACTCGGTTCAAATAGTAGCAATCATCTATAACATCCAAAATATGACGAAGAAAACTAGAAGAGAATTCAGAGAAATAAAGAAAATAAAAACAACGCCGCCAGTTGGGGTTTTCGTCGGGGTTTTTCCGGGTTTGCGGGCGTGCCTGAGAAGGTCCAACGGGTCGATCCACGGAGGCAGCAGCGGGAGAGCCGGGCCCTTGGCGGGTGCATCCTCGGCGCAGGCTCGCAGCGTGGCTCCGTGACGTGCTCTTGGTTCGAGTGCGATAGGCGCCGGCTC